CTTGGGATCGAAACTTGTTTCAATTCCAGTCCATGACTGAAGTACTCAAACCCAATGTATGTTTTTTATCCAATACTTATTCAAAATTAAAGAAAATTAATTTATAATTGTGGATAAGTTTAGAAAGTATTTGATAAATATTGGAGGAGTGTCGGTACCCTGTATGATACGGATATGACTCCCTTGTATAAGTATTCACGCTTCATAATTGGTGCACGTTTTGTTCAGATACATGACTTTCAAAGCAAATAGAATGTTATGAACAAAACATCTTGTCTAAGTGGCCCGGTCAATAATAAGCCCTTCTCTTGACCATTTACTAGTTGGATGAAGCCTTGGGATCGGAACTTGTTTCAATTCCAGTCCATGACTACAGTACTCAAACCCAATCTTAAGTATGTTTTTTATGCAGTGTAGCTCGCTTCTCAGCATGCTTTGGTGCATGTTGAAAAAAGAATAGCTTTCTTGTGGCGCGGAAAGCTAATGTCCAAAACAAATACGTTAATGTCCACAAGAAAGAAAGAAAAAATTTGGAAACAAGATCATCTACTCATTTTTCCGTCACGTGGTCATATCTACATATAGCTGTGCTTCTACAGTTTAATCTCATGTACAGCATTGCATATTTTTCCTCTATTTGTCACTGACTTACTGCTCTCATGAAAGAATTCATGTTCTCGAGTGCATTTTTGTTTTTAGTTTGATTCTTTACCTATCTTTCTTAGATGGTTGTCTTATTTATCCAATCCATTCTGTTTGGGTAGAGGCTTCCAACATTATGATTTTTCCCTTTTTTATTTCTAGTTGATTTCACTTATATATTATATTGACTTCGGCAAGAGGCACAAATTTTAAGATTATAATTGCTTTCTCAAATATATTATGGTGGCGCGTTAATATCAGTTTCAGGTTTGCCATTGGACAGTTGTATTGCTCTTGTGGGTTACAGTTTAGAAGAAGTGTTAACATTTTCATTTTTTTCCTCAATTTCTCAGTTTGGGCGGATGCGGACACATGGTTTGAACGGCAGCAACAAGAAGAAGAAATGCAGCGTATTCAGGCAGAGAATCAGGCTACAATGGAGGCAGCAGAGGAGTTGCATAGAAAGAAAATGGCCCAAGAGCGAGAAGGGGAAAAGGAAGAAGAAACAGATACCAAGGACAACCCAATGGCGAGGGCTGAAGCCGAAGTTTTGAAACAGGATAGTTCTTAGTAATAAGCATTCAATGGAGAAACTGTTACAATGTCCTAGACCATTTTTTTGCAGAAAATACTCTTTACAATGTAAACCATTTTTTGGTTTGCGTGTCTACTGTTGTGTTTTTTATTTTCAAACTCTGATGACTTCATTCTAGTGGAACAAATGCTTGCAGTATTGCACAGATAACAATGTTATTTGTTAACCTACTACTTTAAATGGTTTTACACTATGCTGATCCTTAACTTACATATGTTATTCACCGGTAGCATTATTGTTATTTTGAAATCAATTATAGATAGCACGTGCCCTCTTCTAGTTTTATCTACGAAAATTTTTCTTATCAAAAGAATAATAATTTTTGTTTTGTTTTGTGTTTTTTTTTTTATTTCATTGAAATGGCCTAAAAGTTTCATTTCCACAAGCCTTCCAGCAGCTACAAGAGATTTGGTGATAAGAATCAAGAAGATGTTCGATAGCTTACCTCTTCCGCAGCCTTGAAGGGAGAGAAATACTCAGCAGTCATTTTTATAGCACATACAAATAAATACACTTTTGATCTCTTATGAATGTGGGTAGTTATAGAAGTTGGTGTTATAGGTATGTTTGTATTGATTGTACTTTCTATTCATATGTAATCTTCAAAACCTATTTTGTTAAACATGAACTAAACGATGAGAATACTGTACTCAAATCAATTTTTTGTCATTTTTTATTTAAATAAATAAATAATTCAGTAAACTTCATTCTGGGGGGGTTTCCATCATCAATCTTGGAATATTCATATTTTTTTTCTATCTTTTGAATCAAATTTTTTTTTTTTTTTTTTGGTTTTTTTTTTTGTGTGTGTGTGGGGGGCACATAAAATCAACAATGTTACAGAAAAAGTAGCTCAAAAACTGACTAAAAAATGAAGAAAATGAAGCAGATGGACTACATTCATTTAGGTATAACTCGATGACATACAAAATTTAAATCAAAATTTGAAATTTGCATGATTGTTTGTTTCTCATCATGCAAAAGATCTATCTCCTTTTCAGCATTGCATCACAAAGCTTCACAGCATCAAGATTATCTCTAATGTTATGTACTCTCACAATATTTGCTCCACCCAAAACCCCAGCTGTGACAGATGCAACAGTTGCCGGATCTCTATCAACTGCATCAGGTTGACTGCAAACATCACCTAAAAATCTCTTCCTCGAAGGTCCGATCAATAGCGGAGCATGCGACAAACCTGAACTCTTCCTCGCAATCTCTGCTCGAATGGTTGATAAGCCCATGAGAATGTGCAAATTTTGTTCAGTATTTTTTTAGAATCCAATTCCTGGGTCAATAATAACCCTCCAAGCTGGGATACCCGCTATTTCAGCATCTCTAGCCCGCAAGTATAACTCTGACCCAAGCTGTTTGCAAACATCGTCATATTGCAGGTTTTTGCTATTTTGCATTGTAGACGGATCCCCCCTCATGTGCATTGTGACATAAGGTACCTGAAGGCGTGCCACAACACTATGCATTTTGGAGTCTAATTGTCCACCAGACACATCGTTTATGAGATGAGCCCCTTTGCTGACCGCTTCTGAAGCAACCTCGGAATAAAAAGCATCCACAGATAAGAGTGTCCCTTCAGCCTCGGGCATTTTCAGAACAGCTTCTAAAACGGGGATTAGTCTATCCAATTCTTCCTCAGCAGAAACCCTAGGTGCCATTGGGCATGTGGATTGTGCGCCAAGATCAATTATATCTGCACCCTCGGAAATCATGAAATGGGCCTGAGAGACTGCAGCGTCCACAGACTGAAACTTCCCTCCGTCACTGAAACTATCTGGGGTCAGATTAAGGATACCCATGACAGAGGTTCTTTCCGACCAGTCCCACAAGCGATTTCCAACAGGCAAAACCCTTTTTAATCCATCCTTTCCAATAAGGGATTCACCGCCAAGTTTCTCCCATGATTCAAAAAGTCCACCCGAATGGACTGACAAATCATGCCATCGTGCAACAGTATCACTGTCAATAGATGATCCGATCAAGTCCATCATTGGAGCCATTACAAATGGCCTCTCCCAAATTCTTTCATGGGGTACTGTAAGAATCTCGAAAGAAATTTTGAATTTCCCATAGAACAATATGTCCAAGTCAATTGGTCTTGGACCATACCTTATCCCATCAGTACGCCCCAAGTCCTTCTCAATCTTCTTAAGTACTCCCAACAGTTCATGAGGCCCGAGTTTTGTAACACCTCTAACAGCAGAATTGAGGAAGCGAGGTTGATCCATCACATAAGCAGGCTTCCGTCTCATATAAACAGGCATGCCTTGCAATGTGTATGCCTGATTTCTTCAACAACTGCAATGCTTCATTAAAGTTATGAAGTCTATCCCCCACATTGCTTCCTAAAGCTATTACTACTTCATGTTCTTGTGCATGAACTTCCACAGAAGTGTCTGAAGATGAATGGAATAAAGAAAGGCATGCTGCCAAAAAGAAAAGAAACAAGTATCAAGAAAGTAACCAAACCCTCCGATAATATTTCAGGAGATACGCAATTATATTATATATATGTTATGCAACATTTAGGCATCCAAAACAAAATGTCATTTCAAAGCTGAAAATTGAGAAAGTTTGGTGTTCGCATCCAGTTTTTTCCTGATTAAGCCATTAAACATCAAGTTTATGGTTCTAATCTTCCAGGCAAAGATCTTCTTTTAGGGTTGAATTTTACAAACTGAAGCTTCTAATTATTTTTGGGGGTATTGTTCTTCTTGAAGAAGATGATCAGAAGAAAATAAAAAATTCTTCAATGGAACTTTCTAATTTAAAATCCAGACCTGATCCCTTCAAATGACATAGCTCTAAACATGTCACAAGCTATTAAATTAACTCTATGCAACTACATTTTTGCTGTCACACAATCATAAACCTAATCTTTCTCGGAACTTGGAAACCGATTTATATTATACATACATTTTATGGATCAGAACTTGAACAAAAGCATTGTGGTTTCATGATTTCTTGGCATCCAATAACAATATGATTCAAGAAAGCCCATACCCTATAAAAATTACACTAAAAATCAATGATCCAATAAAATAAGGAGTGGAGACTACCTCTACAAGATTTTATGACAGCACCTCTAAACCCACATTTGATGGGTGCTAACTGTTTGAAAATGTTCATCTCAGGACAGGTCTTTCTCCAACACAAACTTGCAAGTCAGAATTCCTTTCAGTTCAACACAATTTCAAGAGCACTGCAGACACAGTAGTCATACATAAAATTGAAGTAATTAGTGAAACAAAAAAAATACTTGCACAAACCATTCAAGTAATTCCATCTCCGATTGTCCAAAAAGTAAAATCTTTGTAATATTCAGAACCATTCATGAACATCACAGCAAATATGACTAGAATTTAAAATAAAATAAAATAAAAAAGCATTTTTACCATTATAATTAAAACATTTAGCATTCATAGGATTTGAGAATGCCAGTTTCTGATGAAGCAGTCTAACAAAACTAATGAATATGCTGAAGAAATCGATAAAATAGAAGTAACCCATTTGACTGATTTCCAAGAAAACGAGCTGTCTACTGCTGCAATGGCTCAAATCTACCGAATTGCATTCTGGGTTAGAGAGAGAGACAGAGCTTCGGTGGAATTTTGATGGTGAAAAACCCTAGTGGCATTTTGGTAACTTAAAGGTAAATGAGTGGCATTCAGTGACATGGTTTAGATAATGCATTCTTTTGTTTTTTTTCCTTTTAACTTTCTAAAAAATTCCAAAATCATAATCAAATGGGCTAGCCCCGAAGCCAAATGGGGGTTTTCTCTCTCCTCATCCTCTCACCAGTTTCACTCTGATAAACCCTTTCTGGGTTTAGACAAAAACCCAGTCTTGGAGCTCTCTGCCAATGGCGTCTACCTCTCTCACCCAGTTCCTATCATTGCCCAGGTTCTTTCTCTTCCCTCAATTATCTCTTTATACCCATCTTTAGTTCCATATATCTTGTGAATTTGAACAGAAAATATATATTCTTTGAGGGTTTATGATAGAGAAACAAGATAAGGGTTCTGAATTTGGGACCCATTTTGTTGTTCTGATATCTAAATTAGGCATAGGTTTGTGTTAGTAAAAATCCTGTATTTTATGGTGCAAACATTTTGTTTTCTTAAAGATATTCAAAAAAACTTAAAACCTAATTTGGTGATTTTTTTTTTTTTGGGGGGGATAAAAATCAAGGGGGGGGGGGGGATAAAAATCAATAAACTCGTCATTTTTATATGGTTTTGGCTGAATAATTTTAGAATTTTGAAAATATATTTTTTGGTGATTTTTTTTCTTTTTGTCAAACTAGTTTTATTGTTTCAAAAAAAAAAATTGAAACATTGATTCTGAAAATGAAACCAAACAGAGCTCTTGGAGACTTGACTGGTTTGATTAGGTTGCTGACCCAATTGAGGTTTAGGAGGATAAAGTGAAAACCCTTTTGCTAACAACTCCAATTTTCATGTTTTGATGAGCAGGTGGCACTCAAAGTGGCCTTTCTTCCCGTCATCAGGCGTTGTGCAACTTCATGATCCTCTATCACATAAGAGATGGGGTCTTATGGCAATTTCTAGGAAAAAAGTTAAAGAGTCCTTAGCTCAAGAGTTATCGGGCGAAGAAGGGATTGTTGTAGAAAAGAAAACATCTAGAACATCCAAACGCTCACCCGCTAGAAGTAGGAAGAAGGTAATAGAGGATAGTCCAGAGGATGATATTGTGTCAGTGGTGAATGCTGATGTTACAGATGAGGAAATCAATAAGCCCCCAGCATCAGGTGAAGATTCGAAGAAAACCCGAAGAAGAACTCAAAGGAAAGGTATGCATTTTATCATATAAGGGGCATGCTTTTGGATTTTGCATTGCGCTCATATTTTGTATGCCAAATGCTAACAAAGGCACTTCTTAAAATCGAAAATGTGATATAAAGTGTTTTGGAAAAGTGTAAAATAATTAAAAAATTGTTTTAAAATTCATAAAATGTTTTAAATTTAGTGATAAATGTCTCGGGATCTACTCATTTTTTATTTTTTTTTTAGTGCCCCAGGGCACTTCTTAGCAAGACCCTTTTTGTTTACTTCATAATATTGCAATCTTCAACTTCATGGCTCACAGCTGAATCTACTTCTAGCGTGCTGGGGGAAGAAAAAGTTGAAAAAAAGATAACGAGGCGGGGAAGGATCAAGAAAAAGGTTGATGATACAGAAAATGAAGTGAGTGAGATGAAACTTAGTGATCGGGAGGGGAATTCATTCATTGTGAATGTGGAGGATGAATATGACGAAGACCTGGAACTTGGAAAAGATGGGGACGAGGAAGTTAGCTTTACTTATGGATGGCCTCCTCTGGTCTGTTGCTTTGGTGCTACTCAACACGCATTTGTGCCGTCAGGAAGGCCAGCCAATAGACTTATAGACTATGAACTGCAAGAAAGAATGAAGGATGCGTTGTGGACCCCGGGAAAATTTGTGAGGGCACCTGGAGGATGTGCAAGTAATGTTGCGGTGGCTCTTGCAACCTTGGGTGGTAAAGTTGCCCTAATGGGAAAAATTGGGGATGATGACTATGGTCAGTCCTTGTTATATTACTTAAATGTGAACAATGTTCAAACCCGATCCATGCGTATTGACAGCAAAAGAGCAACAGCAGCATCACAGATGAAAATTGGTAAGAGGGGTGGATTAAAAATGACATGTGTCAAACCATGTGCGGAGGATTCTTTATCAAGGTCAGAGATCAATATTGATGTGTTGAAGGAGGTAAGGGATTTAAATTTTATGGAAAATGGTTCTTATTTATTGTGGTAATTTTCAATGTCGGTTGTTGAATTGTGACATATTGATTTCTCATCATCAATTTTGTGCACTATCACAACATGAAATGTTTTCATTTGGGCATTATTGATCGATAGCACCCTCATATTTTCTATACATTTTTCGATAGCACCCTTATATTATTGGTCGATAGCACCCTTATATTTTCTGATGTATTAATATGAGCTTCAAGAAGGATAGGATTCAGTTGAAATATGTGAATTTGGCACACTTCTCTCTCATTTGTATGTGCATCTTTACACAAGAAATGTCCCAATGCATAAAATTGAACTTCAAGAAGAATAACTTAACGGGAACTAGATGAATGCCTGTTAGATGTACTATTCTTTCGTTTTGTGCACAGTACAAGCAGCTTGCTCAAGATTTCAGTGCGAGCTGTCATACAAGCAACATTGTTATCATCTATTTATCGATTCTGTGAACGTCACATGCAGGCAAAGATGTTTTACATCAACACATTCTCCATGCTTGATCGGAACATGAGATCTACCAGCCATCAAGATCTCCAAGAAATTAGGAGGAATTATATTTTATGATCTTAACCTTCCATTGCCACTATGGCAGTCTTGTGAAGAAACCAAAATGTTCATACAAGAAGTGTGGAACCTTGCAGATGTTATCGAGGTTACCAAACAAGAACTCGAGTTTCTGTGTGGGATCAAGCCCTCTGAAAATTTTGACACTAGAGACAATGATAGATCTAAGTTCATTCATTACACGCCAGAAGTATTTGGTCGACTTTGGCATGAAAATCTAAAGGTTTTGTTTGTGACAAATGGGACTTCGAAGATACACTACTACACCAAGGACTACAATAGTGCAGTTCTCGGGATGGAGGATGCACCTATCACCCCATTCACTGGTGATATGTCGGCATCTGGAGATGGCATTGTTGCAGGTAGAAATTGCAAAATCTGATTTATGTGCCCTTTTTTGTTCCCCTAATCACTGAAGAGCAGACTTCTTGTGAGGTCAACTTTACTGTGGAGCCTCTGGAATCCTACATCTGTTTCGAAGCCATATATTTACACCTAAAGACACCTACAATTTTACATGTGGTCAAAAAAGTTTTTTGAACCATACAGGCCCTATTATTAATTTTTTTTCTTTTTTTCTTTTTTATCATTTTACTTAGTATCTCATTCCATAACTTTTAACTAATTTGGCACAGGATTGTTGGCCTTTCTCTTGGTGGCTTTCACCAGTAACTTACAGTCTGTCATTGTTTGCATTAGCATACCTTCTTAATTGTCAAATCACTCTGTGTAGGCAGCTTTGAGTCAACTAAAATTTTTTACATAAGAGTGCTGTTACTGCTCTATGATCTATTTGCTTGCATTTTCTTTCTTTCCTTTCAATTTGTAGTGGATGCCTTTTATGAAAGACCTGATATTTTGTTTTTGTACATTTTCTTACTTCTGGTTGTTATTACATCTATAGAAGTATTGTATTCTCTTGCATCTTGTAAAATGGAATGATACAAATGAACTACTTGGGATGCCCCATTTAAACATAAATATAAAAGAAAGCTGCCTACTGAGAGTGATTTGCCTCTGGCATTGTTTTATGGGTTCGTCTTGGAGAAAAGGCAGTTCCCCCAACACTATAATAGATTGTAGAACCATGGTTGATAGAATTCGGAGATAGATTTATTAGGTTTTTGAAGCAAATTTGAGGACGAATTAAGATATACCTCTAGAATAATTTTTTTAACAATTAGACATCCAATAATATTGTTTATTTTTTATCCAAATTAATCATGTAGGAACACATTTCTATGTGCATTATGACAATGTTTTGACGTTTCTCCATGTCAAAACTTCATCCACCTTAGCTTTTTGTTTGTATATTTGAGTTTTTTTACTCCTAAGGAAACCATCGTGAAATCTATTGCAAAAAACCTTTGAGATCATTTTTGAATGGTAAATTTACCGTTTTGAAATGAAAGTGTATCATATTTAAGAATATGCATTCCAAAACATAGTTCACCTAGGGTGTTGGTGTATTTTGGTAACAATTGTGAAAATTTGTCATTTTTGTTATGATATTTGCGGCATGCATTCATGTATGGAAAATGTTAGATATATGCAGAAGTATGAAAATGTTAGATACATGCAGAAGTATAAACATCTTTCTTTCTTTGGATCATCCCTGCACCAACATTTTCTCTGGAAAAACATAACAACCCTTGTTCTCTTTCTGAGATGCAACCTTAATTTTCTAATTTTCTTTGCAACATCTTTGCAGCTCTCATGAGAATGTTGACGGTTCAGCCACATCTTATCACCGACAAAGGATACTTGGAACAGTCAGTCAAGTATGCCGTTAACTGTGGAGTGATTGATCAATGGCGGTTGGCACGGACAGTTGGCTTCCCTCCCAAAGAAGGTATGGAAGAAAATGTTGAGCCCGATCCAAATGGCATAAGATCAATTACTGAGAGGGAATACCGCACACTGCAGCCTGAGCCTGTGAGTTGATCAAACTCGGTTCTCCAATTAATAAGGATTGTGGTGTTTTTTGCCTTTGATGAGCCACAATTATCCCAATCCCTGTAAAGTGAACTGATTTTAGTTCTTTTTTTTTTTTTTTTTTAACCATGAGGTTATTGATGTAACTTAGAGAACACCAATTTTGAAATGTGTGGGTATTATCTACTACCATGGAATGAGAATGGCAAGTTTTCAGGTTTAAGTCACAAAGATTTTCCATTTCTATTTTGCCTGCATCCATCGTAGTCATTGCATAATACAATTTGAAATTAGAGAGAATTAATATTTAGTCAGCATATGCAATGATGTTAATAAATATTATTCTTATTGTATTATTTATTTATTAGCATTATATCCAGATTAATTTTTGTCCTTTGAATAGAGGATATAGTAATTTTACTTGGGTTTCTCAGTTTATTATTATTTTTTAAGATCAACCCAAGACACATGAGGCTGTAGACATACTTGACTGAGTTGGTTGTTATAGCTCATAATTCTGTCATGCACATTTCAGAAACACCTGGAACATCACCTGCGATGCAAAACTGAGTATTCCTTTCAGTTTTTCTCTTCTTTGAACTGGTGTGCTTAAGACCAAGTGTTGGGTGTATGAGACACTCCCTTATCTGGTGTAATGTCCAAGTTCTTTCTCCCCATCTTCCCAACTCTTGATTCTTTGGAGAAAAAAAAACTGTGTTCATATGGATATGGCCAAGCAATGTAAAATAGTGTATATATATATATATATTGAGTTTGTTTGGTGCAGTTTATGTACTACTTACAATCTTTTTTTTTGAGAAATTGTGTCAAAGTGTTTGGTATATCTTCTACGTGCAACTTATGTTTTATAGCTTATGAAGCAAATTTTACTTGAAGAAGTTAGAAAATTGGTACTTTCAACTTTTACTTTCTTATTAATAGCTTTCAGTTTTATCAATAGCAAGTTTCAATGGTAACTTCATTCAAAGTTATGTATTTAGGGTTTAAAATAGAGTAGTTTTTTTTAACATAAAAAATAGAGTAGGTAAAGCAGCTAAATTTTGATTTTTGTGAAGTGATGTCAAGTTCTCTACGGTGGTAGCAATTGTCTTTGAAAAAAGGACATGTAATTATTGGTTCTAGAATGGGGCCAAAACCAAGTTGTCAAGACTATCAATCTATTATTTTATTTCTTTACAGTTTTGGAATATAGTAACGATTTGTGAACTAAAAAAAAAAAAAAAAAAAAAAAAGAAATTAAATACAAAATCACATGATTGAGCTTAGATATATATCATTTTCAAAAAAAAAATTATTAAGATAATTTTTAATTACAAAACTGTTATGCTTACGCATCATTCTCTCCCTTTAAGATAAAATAAAATACAATAGCAAACAAAAAAAAATAAAACAACCACCAACAAAAAAAGAAAGCAAGGAAAGAACTTGGTTATCTTTTTTCTTTTGAAAAGAAAAGATGAATTAAGAAACCACAACTTCAAGATAACCTAAACTTTATGACAATAGAACATCTATGAGGGGGGAAAATGCCAGGGTACTGCTGAAAACACCAACTGAATTTCTTTTCTCACCCACCTTTCCTCCTTTCCCTATATGGGTCACTTCGGTATAGTTTTTTTTTTTTTTTCAAATTAAAAGCTAATAATAAAAAAATAGAAGACAAAAACAACCCTCTCTCACCTTTCTAATAATCACTTTTTTTTTCTAATTTATTTAAACTATTTGTCTAATACATTGTGAGGCAAAAACTATATTAAACAGTCTTGCACACATTTAAAACGAAAAAAGAAAAAGGAACAACCCATATAAGTTATACCAAACAACCTTATAAATCAAAAATTGTGCTTCACGTAGGTGTAGAGAGAAGTTGGTGAATGCATTTTGTAGTACCCAAAATGCCATTATTTACATTTCACCATCATGGACAAAAAGAAGGGCTTGTTTTCCCACAGATTGATGAGATCAGATTCATATCAATGTGGAACTGAAAAACAGAAGAGGACTTAGTATTTAAAAGCCCCAAACTTCTCAACCTCTTCTTACAAGAAAGCATAGTCACACTTTCCCCAACAACCCCCACAAAAGAGAGGGAAAAAAGCCCAAAAAAGGAGAGAGAGAGAGAGAGAAAGAGAGAGAAAGAGAGAGAGATTAACCCAACTTAGAAAAGGAAAAGAACTAATGGAAGAGGGTGTTTCGACAAATGTACGATCCCTCAGCTACATACAACAAACATAAGCGCTTTGGCAAGAAGAGCTCGGCCCTAGTCGGAAAATTGAGCACCGTCGAGTTTCGAGGCAGCCGCCATGTCGAAAATCCATACCAACTTCCCCTTGGTTGGCTGAACCATCCTCGAAGGCAATGACAGGTAGTCAGGCCCCACGTCGTCAATTGCCAAGTGTTATTTTTCACAATTTTACATAAATACTAAATCTAAGAGCATCTCTAATGGTAAATGTTATTATAACATCTCCAAAGACATACTATAATAGCAAATTGTCAAATTATAGCAATAATACTCCAATGATACAAAGCCATTTTGACAAATCCCAACTGAAGCCGAGGCTGGACAACTGTCTTGGCTGGTCGATCAACCGAAAGACCAGGTGGTCGACCGGTGGATGAAATTTTGCTGAGTTATGCAAAAATAGAGAGCTTGTCACCGCGGTTGGTTTGCTGGGAAGGATGAAAAAGGAAGGGAAGAAAGAAAAAAAAAAGGAAGGAAACAGTTGGTTTTAGATGAATTGACACATTTGGGTTGTGTGTTCAGATTTCAGAAATTTAAAGTTTAGGCTGCGTGTTCAACTTTCAATTAAATGTAGGCTACGTGTACACCATTAAATTTGGGTTGTGTGTTCAGATTTCAGAAATTTAAAGTTTGGGCTGCGTGTTCAACCTTCAATCAAATGTGGGCTGCGTGTTCACAATCAAATTTGGGCTGTGTGTTCAGATTTCAGAAATTTAAAGGTTGGGCGGTGTGTTCAACCTTCAATTAAATGTGGGTTGCGTGTTCACAATCAAATTTGGGCTGTGTGTTCAGATTTCAGAAATTTAAAGTTTGTGCTGCGTGTTCAACCTTCAATCAAATATGGGCTGCGTGTTCACAATCAAATTTGGGCTGTGTGTTCAGATTTCAGAAATTTAAAGTTTGGGCTGCGTGTTCAACCTTCAATCAAATGTGGGCTGCGTGTTCACAATCAAAATTGGGTTGTGTGTTCAGATTTCAGAAATTTAAAGTTTGGGCTGCGTGTTCAACTTTCAATTAAATGTGGGCTGCGTGTTCACCATTAAATTTGGACTGTGTGTTCAGATTTCATAAAGTTAAAGTTTGGGCTGCGTGTTCAACCTTCAATCAAATGTGGGCTGCGTGTTCACAATCAAATTTGAGCTGTGTGTTCAGATTTCAGAAATTTAAAGTTTGGGCTGCGTGTTCAACCTTCAACAAATGTGGGCTGCGTGTTCACAATCAAATTTGGGCTGTGTGTTCAGATTTCAGAAATTTAAAGCTTGGGCTGCGTGTTCAACCTTCAATTAAATGTGGGCTGCGTGTTTACAATCAAATTTAGGCTGTGTGTTCAGATTTCAGAAATTTAAAGCTTGGGCTGCGTGTTCAACTTTCAACAAATGTGGGCTGCGTGTTCACAATTAAATTTGGGCTGTGTGTTCAAGACGAAGTATTGTGTTATAGACTAAGCATGCAGAACAAGTTGTGTGCTAAAATGGGCAGAAGCATGGCATGCAAATGTGTTTAGAACGAGCAATAAGCATACATAGCATGAAATGCATGGAAAATGCAGAATTAAGGCAGGAAATGTAAAAAGTGAAGTACGTACCTCTCGTGCCTGATGAGAGAGATGGGACTCCGGCTCCCGCAGTAGCAGGTCCACAGGAGCTCAAGGATCGAAGTCGGTAAAGTAATAGAAAACTGCCTAAGGAAGGACGTGTGTCGGAGGGTCATACCTCTCGGGAATGAATGGCTGAATCCTCGGCGGCAGAGACATGATATCTGGATCACCTCCGGCATTTGGAGAACCTCCGCCATGGGGAAATTGACCCGCCATCTCAGGGAATCTGCAAGAAAGGGCAAAAATGAGCGAAATGAGCCAAAATTGGAAAAAGTCAACAAAAGTCAACTCTCGGGAAATGAAAAAGTCAACAAAAGTCAACTCCCGAGAAAATCTTCCAAATATTGAGACAAACTTACCTCAAGTGGTGAAAATGAGAAAAGAAGCTCCGAAATCAAAATTTAATCGGTTCAAAGTGAAGAGAACTGAAAGTTTTCGCGAAACAACTTGGCGTGGGGCGTTGGAAAACGCGCATAAAGCGCAGATCTGAGGGAGAAAATGGTCTAGCAAAAATATCAACAATCATCAGCAAATCATTCTATACATGTAGGAGTTAAATTTAGGCAGATCTAATCCGAGCAACTCAAACACAGATGGAATGTTTTTAAAATTTCAATAACATATTTTCAAATTTTGTGTATAATTGGAGAAAAATCTAAAAATCCGTATTAAATTTGAGATGAACTTTGGCAAATGCACACAATTTCATACAATTTGAAGCTCAAAATAATTGGCCATCCTAAGTCTGAGTACAATAAATAAATAAATAAAAAGAAAAAAAAAAGGTGCAAAAATTTGTATTTTTCACAATTTTACATAAATACTAAATCTAAGAGCATCTCTAATCGTAAATGTTATTATAGCATCTCCAAAGACATACTATAATAGCAAATTGTCAAATTATAGCAATAGTGCTCCAATGATACAAAGCCATTTTGACAAATCCCAACTGAAGCCGAGGTTGGACAACTGTCTTGGCTGGTCGATCAACCGAAAGACCAGGTGGTCGACCGGTGGATGAAATTTTGCTGAGTTATGCAGAAACAGAGAGCTTGTCAACCGCGGTTGGTTTGCTGGGAAGGATGAAAAAGGAAGGGAAGAAAGAAAAAAAAGGAAGGAAACAGTTCGTTTTGGATGAATTGACACATTTGGTATTTGCCAAATTTAACAGCTCCAATGGCAAATTATTGAAGAATCACTTTTGCACCAAAATTGTTATATTAAGCAGCTCTAATAACAAGCTATTGAAGGCTCTATTTAAAGCAATAAAATTTAGGAACATTAATTTGGCTTTAAAAAATGACTTTTCCCAAATCAATTGTATTACAAAATCAATGAGATTAGCATATTGATCCAAAGTAAAAATAACAAAAGAATAAAAAAATGTTTTTGATCCATTGATTTTTTTTACATGAAATTTGAAATTAGCCTTACAATTTCGGTTTTATTAATAATTTTGGGTTGTCAATTTTTACTGTCTCATTTTTGATATATTAAGCGAATGCATAATTTTAAAAGTGAAAAATTTGTTATAGAAAATTCATAAAGAATCTCTCACTAAAATAATATAAGGGTAATATTTTTACAATTAACAATCATCTTGGTATATTATTTACTTTGAACTGGTTGAAACCCCTTTTTTGTGTCTGACTTTTACATAGTGAAACTTGATTGAGCTTCATGGGTAGTCTCTGCCACGGTTCTCAAGGCAGACCCCAATGGTTGTTACCGCTAGAAGACCTCATCTTGAATTCCATTACTAGCTTTGAGAAAGCAGAAGAATTGTTTTTGAGCAACTCAGTTGGCGAATCATACTCAACAACCTTGCCTACATTAATCAAGATCCTAATGTAGGCAATTTGATATTTTCTGTGTTAGTACTACCAAGTTTAAAGCCTGTTTGGAAAGAACTTAAATAAGTAGCTTTTTTTGCTAAGAAAGCCAAAAGCAAATAAGTTTGTTTGGGATGGCTTCTCCATTAATAATAACAATAAAAACTATTTTTTAAATGCATAGTTGTAAAAAGACAATTTTTACTCTCAATACTTTTAGAACTTTCACCATATCCCTACAAGGACTCCACAGCATTGTAAGGGTAATATAATAATTTCTCACTAAAAAACAAGTTTGAAAAGATTTTAAAAAGTAACTTTTAAGCAAACACATCAACTTTTTTTAGGCTTTGCTTTGGAAGAACTAAATAAGTAGGTTTTTCTATTACCAAAAAAAAAAAGAAAAGAAAAAGCTTGGGATGGGTTTTCATAAAAAAGCAATTTGTTTTTAGCAATTTTGTGAAAAGATGATTTTACCTTCAATACTTTCAGAAATTCCACCATGTCTCTAAAAAGGGCTCCACAACACAATAGGGAAAAGTATTCAAAAGCCCAAAAAAAGAAAAAAATGAAAAAAAAAATAATAGAAAAGTAATTGCCAAACCCCATCTAAGTATTTAATAGAGTATATAACCTTGGCAAAGCATGATAGTGAAAATGATTCCAGTAGCCGATCTTACCTGATTATGATACAAGTCTTAGTTTGGCTTTAGTATTACCAAATTTATCTTGAAATGTCAATCATGTTTCATTATAGTTGGTTTTTCTTTGCACAATTGAAAATATGTTTTCATAAATTTATAAGTCTTACCTTCATCGAGAACCAGAACAAGGTCATTGTCGATGATGGTGGGTATCCTATGGGCCACTGTTATGACCGTGCACCGGCTTGTTTCTTCTCTGATTCTCCATTGAATTACATTGTCTGTTGCTGTGTCTACTAATGTCGTGGCCTCATCCAAGACCAATATTTTCCTCCTCTGTAGTAGCACTCGAGCAAAACACACAAGCTGCCTTTTTCCCATGCTCCAATTTTCTCCATCTTCCGCAACTGCACCACCAATTCAAAGATAATGAAAAATATGTAATATAATACAAATTACATTGAAAGGCTCAATATTTCTTAAATTAAAGATTAAAATGTCAATCACGTAACAATTACTCTCTGAAGAATGCAAAACTACAATAGAAAATTGTAGTATACATGATATATTTATCTTATAAATATTTCAAAACATATTTAGAGTACACAAATTGTGGTCTAAAGAATGCAAAAACTTTGTTATTATAAAGGGATTCATCACATAGGACGTGTTTAGAAAAGGTTCAAGAAGTGTCGGTAAAGTGTTCGATATTATGAATTTAATTTTTTAATTAAGACACATTTTTAGGAGTGTCCAAAAAGTGTTGGTGCTGGACACGAGTGTCAAATCCTCGGCTAAAGTGTTCATGCTTCTTAATGGACAACTTAGTAACAGGAAAAGAATGTGTGCCCGCACGCGTTTAGAGGGGTGGATTTTCGCACTTTCCATACCTGGCATATCAAGAAGCCTTTGATCGTGTCTTACAATATAAATAAGTTTTAAAAATTAAACCCTAAACCTTAAATTGTAAAATAAAAATAATAAATTTTAAGAATTAAACCTAAACCTTAAAATAAAAAAAAAATAAATTTTAAGACTTAAACTCTAAACCTTAAAATAAAAAAAATAAATTTTAAGAATTAAATCTTGAGCCCTAAAATAAAATTAAAAAAATAAATTTTATCCCTAAATCCTAAAATTAAAAAAAAAAGAGTAAATTTTAAGAATTAAACGCTAAACCTTAAACTCTAAACTCTAAAATAAAAAAAAAATAAAAAAAAGATAAAATTGTGCCATTTTAGGCACAGCAGTGACCCCGCTTCCACTCTAATGACACATACAAGCATTCACCACCAGTGATCTACCAATTTTCACACAAATTTCTCACACTTGCAATGCAACCTCTTATCTTCGTACAATTTTCAACTTTTCTTCACATCCAATATTATTTCATAAAATAACAAAAACACCTAAACACAAAATGAGTGGCGAAGTTTCAGGCATCTCCATGCATCTTCATAAAAAGTTCTCCTAAATATCCAATTTTACACCCATCAATTTATGTCAAAAAGAGTGCAGAGGACAGCCCAGTGTATAAGGCTCTCATAATAACTACAAAAACTGAAAAAAAAAGTATAAACAACCTTGCAAAAAACACACATAAAGCTGGCATGCACCCAACACTTACAAAACCCCATTTTAACAGAATCATCATGCATTGAGTCTTTTTTTAATAGTTATAAACTCCAATTTGGCATCCATTAATTTGTGGAAAAACAGAAAAGAAAAAAAGAAAGAAAAAAAAAGTCCCACAATTACTTTAAACTGCTTATTTTTTTAAGGAAAAAAAAAATCCCTCTCCACAATGCACTAGTGCACTGTATTATTAAGAAAACGCTATATAGCCTCTTGCAAAAGCTAGCCAGAGACCAATCATTCCAGCGCCAAACAGGCCAATGCCCACACCAAAACTCGCAACCTTCAATCACAAACCATGCAGCAATCGTGAAACAAACATTAAGAAAATACAGACTACGCAAGTGCTCGAGGAAGAAATCGCAGTGATAATTCAAATATCTTCTGGCACAGTAAGAGCTGATGCAGTCTATGTCGAAGTTTAGTTTCAACCCAAAACTTCACACAGGCCCTAATCTACACAATGTAGCTCAACGGACCACATGCCTCTCCCAAAAAGTTACAATCGTGACGAGAAAGAAGTTCTGACATTCCAATAGCCGAAAAAGAAAGTTTGAACGCCGTGAAACGACAAGAATAATGAAAAGATGGTACGCTATCTTGAAATATTTTCTTCCTTTTACCTTTTTACCTTAAATTAGGGGAAAAGAAAAAAAAAAACTGCACTACTACCAATAATGAATTTCAAATTACAAAAAAAAATAAAAAAAAAATTAAAAATTAAAAATTAAAAATTAAAAATTAAAAATTAAAAATTAAAAATTAAAAATTAAAAATTAAAAATTAAAAATTAAAAATTAAAAATTAAAAATTAAAAATTAAAAATTAAAAATTAAAAATTAAAAATTAAAAATTAAAAATTAAAAATTAAAAATTAAAAATTAAAAATTAAAAATTAAAAATTAAAAATTAAAAATTAAAAATTAAAAATTAAAAATTAAAAATTAAAAATTAAAAATTAAAAATTAAAAATTAAAAATTAAAAATTAAAAACCAAATCCCTCTCTAGTGGAGAATTATGCAAAACAGCACCTAGCATTGGACTGCCAAATATTTTAGGCGAATTCTTGAAGGACCATATCCGGTCCTTGGGCCATGGTCTCTGGGGCTGCTTTTCTTGGTGAAACAACAGAAATGGACCAGTTAAGAAACTAGTTTGTCTCAAGGACACGAGCTGCTGGATAATCAAAATATACATGAAGTAAGGCAATAACAACTACAAAATGACCCCACTGGTGCAATTTGATCCTCCAATCTTAAGGGTGCCTCAAACTACTTGATTCATCTTTTGGCCCATTGTACAAAATGAACCCTAAACCAACTCCATCCATCCAGATGCCATCACGACCATCCTGGGTTGGCTTTGCCATGGTTGCATAATGCCACAACCAACTTAAAGCTCTCCTTGTTTTAAATTAATAAAAATATTCAACAACCATCCACCATAACTAGCAGAAATTTTTTTTTTTTTCTCACATTCATTTATGCCTTTGGCACATTTAAATTCATTAGTAATTTGCAATACAATCAGGTCGTCAATTTAGTATTCCTGTAGAGTTCTCGAGCAATTCAACTATAAATTCTCTAATAAAGAGTTTAGAAACATTTATTACATAAAATATTTTAGGAGCTTCATTATAGAGTTAGTCAAGAGGTTAACGCTAATACGTTTTATTACAATTTATGGAACAAATTTGACTGCCCGGGGTATAATTAGACCGGTTAATGCCAGTTACAGTATTTATATTACAAGGAAGCCAATCATAAGCAACACTGAAGTGGAATTTTAAAAGAAAAATTACCAACATGATAAAGCTCGGTGTTAGGGATCTACTACTAAAGAAGATGTTAGGGATCTACTACTACAAAATATCACAAATTGATTAAGTCAACTTGTATTCCAGAAACATAAACAAATAATGACAAAGCAAACAAAAATAAAGCTTATCATCCTTGCCAACATGAATTTTACAGTCCTTGGGCCATAAACACGATGTCGAGATGGCTTCTGGACCTTGGCATAGAAGGAACCAATGTCAGGTAACGACAGACAACCCCTAATCGCTCTGGCTAGGCTAGAATCTGGCTCAGCAGCACTAGTCTGGTTATGCCAATAAATCAGCTGCCCTAAACAATAATTTTCACCGTAATTCTTGCGATACTCCTGGAAACCTGACCCCAATTTATCAGTGTACTTGGGGCCCAGGTCTAGAGGACTAATGGAAACAGGTGGGGAAGTTACAGCCGTGTATTCCTCCAGGCAAAAGTAAAATCTGATTTAAGCCAAGAAGGGCCAAACAATTACAACTTTAAGTTACTCAAATTTCCAAACCAAGAAAGAAGAAGAAGAAAAAAAGTATTATGATAAGGCCCACCTTTACTCTAAAGAAGCACTTTGTATGAGCATATATGTGAATCAGATCAGCAGCAGCATCATGCCTACACTTATATGTACATGGAAGATTTCGTACTTCATCCCTCAGCCTGAAACAAGAATGAACAAGGTCCATGAGATTTGCTTGTTCCACCAAGTAAATATACTCACATGAATTAAGAGTGCACGAAACTCACCATATTAAAGATCTCCGAAGCTCCTTCTGGATGTCATCAGAACCAGATGGATCATGAGCACAAATCTCGGACTTAAGGTCATTTAGCATGCTATCATCCATATGAGGTGCCATGCACTGAATAAGTTCGTCTACAAGTGATCCCTCCGCTTTCCAGAGAAAGGACACTGCTGCTTCAGGACTCAACCTCTCCAGAGGTGGCGGAGCCTTCTTTGGGTCACCAAAAACACATATCATGACATACCTCACCTGTAAAAGGCATTCAAAATGTAAAAAATATAAAATCACGACTGCTTTTCATCTCTTATACTGAAAACCTCTAATCCAAGCACCGAGACGTCGATCAGCCTACTATGTGGGTGTTTGGGAAGTGGGTTTTTTTGTAAGTTTTTTTAGTTGTAGGATATTATTGGAGAAAAAAAATTGTGTGATTGGGAAGATTGTTTGGGTTTTTTTGGGGGTTGGACGTGATGTCCGTGAGAGAAAAAGTGAAATGATTATGGGGTTTGATGTGATATTTTGTTTGGATTTGTTTTTTTTGGTTTTGTAACCAATTTGTCTTTTAGTGAAAAAAAACAAAAATCCTCCTTCGCAAACAGCGCTCACATCTCATGGAGACATGAATGAAAATTTGTCTCAAGATCACTCGGTCCCAACTAATAATAAACAGAAGTAAAATGCATAATTAATTTTCAACTAATTCACCGTCTGGACTGGAAGGACCCAACTCCTTGTGTTGAAATTATGGTTCATTTACACAGGCACCATCTTTGATAGTTCATATATCATTCATTCAGATATGATGTTTTTAAGTAGTCACATTTAGTGTCTGAAACTCAATAACAAACATGCTCCCATTCTTATGAAACATAAATGTATTTAAAAACAACATACCTTGTCAAGAGTAAGAGCCAAATTCTGAAGCCTTTGGTTGTAGACTCCCTCTGCCTGTCTCATACAAAAACAAAAGGGATAAATATCAACAATAGTTAACAGCAAGAATACCTCTCAATATATTACTCTAATCCTAAGTTCACATGGAAAACAAAGACGAAGGGAGAACTTAGTGTGTATGTGTGTTGTTGGAAGGGAGGGGGTGCTGTCAGTAATATTCACCTGGACCTCAGCATCACTTTTTTCAACCTCAATGGAGATATCTGCAAAGTATTTCCTCTTTTCTTCCAAATTATGCCTCAAAATCTCCTCAGGAAGCTTAGTTCGTTCAAAATTGATAAATCTCACCTTCACATAAGATGAATGTTTCAGATGAACAGAATCTTTTAAAAGGCTAAACCCATAAATGCAAGCTAGATATAGCATAGATATATACCAGACAAGCTGAGTAAGCAATCAGACAACCCGGAAATCCCCCAAGTAAACAACTTCCCAAACCAGCCCTACCCAAGTCAATATAATCTTCTTCAGATACAAAATTTAATTCACAAGCCCCTAGCAACAAGTGATGTCGATCCAGTATTCCATGCCAATCCTTCAGAACCTAGTGAATATTAGAATAAAGTTAAATGAAAATATAACTGACTTAATTTCGATAAGAAAGGAATAACCACATTTACCACCACATGAAAATACTAAAAGCAAATAAACATGGATGGTTTGCTGTAGAAACTGCTCCCACTCTGAGCTTACTTTAAGGAAAGATAGGATTGTGCAACACCTCAGGTTCTGAAGCTTGCCGTGTTATTTCGGAAAGGGGAAAGGAATTCATTATAGATTAAGAGTTGAGTAAGGGGGGCAGAGCTTGAAGCTCATCAGCCGCAGGAACAAGGAGCGAATCCTCCAAAAATGGAATGAGCTTACAACAGCCAGAATGCTAATGAAGCAAGCCCCTTGTACAAGGCCGGTTGAACCCCAAACTCCACGGGACCAACTAAAACTTTCTTTTCCTTTCCTTTTGCTTTTGTTTTGTCCAGTTGACAAAACTTGATGTGATATTCAGATTTGGAAATTACAGTTAAGAAAAACATATTCAAGCCTGTACCTTCTGAAAGGCTCCTTCACCCGTCAGATTCAAGTAGCTCCCACGGCAAACTTGGCTCCCACATAAACAAACTGATGCTTCATATTCTTCTTTACTCTGCAGCATAATAAGCAGACATACATTGCCAGCAATATTATAACAGTTTCTATTAACAATCACATAAATTATCACCCAGAATAGAAATAGAAATAAAAGCTTAACAAGCTCAAAACACACACCTCCGTAACAGAATTATAATCAAATGTGATCTCTACACCATATTCAATTGGGCGTACTGCATAGATTCCAATCTGTTACTGACCATCAACAGCAGTAACTCTGCTTTCACAGAAAGGAGGAATGAGTATGCAACATTCAGACAACCACAACTAGTCAATCATGAAGGGAAAAATTTATCAACTGATATAGAGCAAACTTGTTAAAAAAATAAAAAAATAAAAAAAAGAAGAAGAAGAAGAAGCAAACAAACAAACAAACAAACAAACATAAATCCATCAAACAGACTAGGGGTGACGGTGGGGATGGAGATGAGGATGGGAAAAGTGGGAGGAAGAAGTCAAGGAGAGCCCCAACAATGAGATTCGAATAATTGCAGGATTTTTTTTTTTTTTTTGCAAGTTCTCGAAACAATTATACAATACAACTAAATGGTTTTCGGGGTCACTTTTTGTTACTTCTAATTACTTCTTTGATAAGATGTTTGTCACTCAAACCAAGATAGAGCAATTAACCAAAAAGGGCAACAAGCTTCTGTCTACAATAGCACAAAATATGAAAGCAAAATTTGACAAGTATTGGAGGAATGGGGAGAAAATCAATCTACTTGTTTATGTTGTTATGGTTCTTGATCCCCTAAAGAAATTTAAATGTTTGAAATTTTGTTTCTTACAATTAGTTGAAAAAGTGGTGAGTGAGATGACAGGCGGATGATTCAAAAAGTGTCCAAATGTCTAATTTGAGTGAAGCTTCTGGGACGAAGGTGGATGATGATTGTGATAATCTACGTCTACTAATTGCTTCTCAATTTAGATTTTATTTGGAGGAGAAATATACTAGCATGTATAAGTCTGAAGAAGATAAATACATAGCAGACTTGTGTGAAGCTTCTAATGAAGAGAATTTTGATATATTGGGATCATGGAAGGTCAATTCTTCGAAGTAAAGAGTGTGGTCCCAAGTAGCACATGATGACTTGACAATACCCATCTATACAGTTGTTTCTCACCCTTTTGTATGGGAAGACACATACTTGATCCATTCCGTAATTCATATCTCCCATGATGCTAGAGATTCTGATTTGTGCACAGAATTGACTTCATTGCTTCTGAGTTGGCCTTTAGTACAGGACACATAGTTGATCCATTTGATTTATGTACACAATTGGCTTCAAACAACATATCCCATTTCTCTTCGAAAGGCAATGGATGATGTTGAGTAATTTATATAATACAAATTTTGGATTATTTCTATAAGTATGTTATGTACTATTCAATGAAAACTCTCTACTAAATATGTATATAAATATATAAAATTATATATATCATATAATCATATTAAATGAAATGAATCTTACTATTCCCGATTAACTATTTTAGCAATAAGATTCACAATTCCATTCGTGATTTGACAATAATAGCTATAATTCATAGCTTCAAACAATCACAAAAATCAACAAAATTCCAAGATGCAAAAATGAAAAATTCAAGAGATTCAATTTGCTAACCAATTTTTAGTTTTTATCTCTCCTAGGGGTTACCTGTATAAATTTTCCGAATACCAACAAAAGCATACACCCACTAAGAATCACGGACACGGAAATTTTCAAAAAATGCAGAACACGGGCATGTGCGCACAAAATATAAAATTTTATATATTTGTTATATGTCATATATATATGAAAATATCATTCCAAGAAAATAAACAAATACAATATAACACTAATTTCTATAAATTGACATTGTTTTTCTTTTTATCATCATATTCTAAGTTATTTTGTTTAAACTTATAATTAGTTTCATGTGTCTAACCAATGAACGCGTGTGTTTAAATAATGGAAACGTGTGTCCTCCAAGTGTCCCAAGAGTGTATGGGACTAAATTTTTTTTTAAAAAAACTAAGACCCATTTGGATGAGTGTCAGACACGCCAAGAAGTGTCCCACACGAACACGCCACATTTTTAGAAGTGTCCGTGCTTCTTAGCCACCCACAACACGAACTCAAAGATGATGTTTTAATGCTATTCAACACACAAATGGTCCAATGGGAGCAAGAATTTCCAAGAACATTTTGTTTCCAAGCAAAAGAGTCGTTTTCAAGTAGTGTACAACCGATTACATATTAGGGGAGGCAAACAGGCAGGTTTAGGCCGGTCAAAATAGGTTATGCATTTAAAACAACTCAGCCCAAATCCGCCCATATAATAAACGGGCTTAAACGGGTTGCTTTGGACTGAACAAATGAACATGAACAACACATTTACTACATTAATTTTTATTTCAAAAATTACAACAAATTTATTCAGTGAATTTTAAATAATAAAAAAAATTGAAAAAAAAAAACAACTAATTTTGATTTTTTTAAAAAGATTTTCATATAAATAATAATAATAATATAAAAATAATTAATCTTTGCAAACTTCTTGCTATTTTTACTTTTTGAGAATATTACAGCAAAAATGAACAATGAAAAAATGGAAACACAGGCTCTAGATTAAATCAACAAGAACATAGAGGATGTTATTCTCCGAGCTAATAGATTGGGTGTTCTACATTGCTTAAGGTTGCTCTCCCTCTACTTCTTTCTCGATCCTCTGCTTCATTATAGGATTTACTGGGTTTGTCTTCAGGTTCTCAAGCTATTCTCAGACTATGTGGTGCTGCTGCTGCTGCTGGTGGAGGTGGAGTAGCGGTGGCAGCAGCAATGGTGGTGTTGATGGTGGTGTTGGTGCTGGTGGAGTGGCAGCGACAGTGGTGGTGGAGTTGTAATGGAGATGATAGTGTTGGTGTGGTGGAGGAAGTGGTATCCGTTTAAATGGTTTAAACGGATACCACGTCCAACCCATTTAAGCCCAATTTTAATTGGGTTTGTAAAATGCAACCCATTTATGAATTTGGACAGGTTTAGACCGGCTTTTAATGGGTGTAATTGGAGACAAAACTTCAAGTTCATTTTAAGCAACAATATATACGTGCTCACTATTGATACGTTGAATAGTTACTTCTAAAATTTTGTATTTTTCCTCTTTGGAGATACACTTTCTAATAATGTGTGCAACAAAAAACACCATCAAAAATTCGTGGATAAGCAATCATACAGCCATGCATTTCACAGAGAGGGGACATGAATACAAGTATATATCACTTACTTTGCTTCACAATTAGGGCGACATGAATGACAAATTCGACTTGCGTAGTTTGCTTTGTGCATCGCATCAACAACAACTAAATCATACCCATCAGCATCACCCTGGCAAATAAGAGCACACGATCAAATGAACAAGTTCAAACAATCAAGAAGAAACACAAGGTCGTAACAACTCAAGCACAAAATTTGTTCAAGTAAAGCATAAAGTGCACCTTTGGCCGCTCAAGATAAATGTTGTAGAACTCTGGCGCTGGATCTTTAGAACTTTTTTGCAAAGAACGAATCCCATCTTGCTTCTCAAACCATTTCCAACCAGGATAAACCTATAACCATAAAAAGGAAAATAAATATAAAAAAAAAAAGAAGAGAAAAACACCTTAACAAAAGTTTCAGCATCATAAAACTTTTTAAGGAACTCTAGTACAAAGCAACCAGCTCCAGTTAGAAGATATGTGAATGCATTTCAATTCATATTTGTTCTACAAAAATAATAATAAAAGAATGAAAATGGCTCCATCAAAGTTATACAAATCTCTTCTCTAGGGTAATAGGATAAAGCATAAGAAAATACATGGAAAATATTCTGAAAAAACTAGTTTTGAAACTAAGAAAATGTATCATATTCCCAAAACTACATGTGGACTGCACTCCCAGTGCCATTTATCTTTGTTTTGGGCCTTGGTGTCATCTCCTTTCAAAAGGATACCTTTGTGTTTTATTTCTAGAGATTGGAGAGCCATTTGTTATTTGTTATTTGTAATTTGCTCTCCACATTTCTTTTTGGTGGATTCATTGTCTTCCCTTTTTCTTGTGTTTCTTGTCTTACTCTGTTCAATAATATTTCTCCATAGCATATCCAAAAAAAAAAAAAAACTGCACTCTGACTGCTCACCATGTCAAAGAATGAGGTACCATGGTGAATGCCACCTTGAACTAACTTGATTTGAGTCGCAGGATATCATCTGTCGGTTCACAAGACAAACCTAGCATGCTAAATTGTTCAAGCGAAAGTTAAGCGTCGTG